CTGTCAAAGCGAGAAGAGACGACCCAGCGATGGAGAACAGGCCTCCAATAGCAGAACCAATACGACGAACAACTGACTTGACACCATCCCACATGTAGCGAAGAAATGGTTTACGGACATTGCGGCCATAAATTTCACCATACTGGTCTTCTGCGAAGTAATACTCCCAGTCTCCACTCCCCGACTGAATAAGGAACTCTCGTCCTGGTTGTGACAGGATAAAGGCAGCGTTACACATGTCGGCTCCATCATCTAATGCATCAGGGACGAAGGTAATGGCTGCGCGTAAAAATCGTAGGGTTGTGCAGCCAGCCGCGTCTAGGTAGCGATGCCGACCTTCGTTTCCGCACCTTTTTACGAGCTCTCTTCCAAGAGCGGCCGCAGTGATTTCGTTTACAAAGATTTTTACGTCCCTCGAGTAATTCTTAAAGAGAAGAGGGCAAGAGGCAAACGTAAAACATTAACAAACTTTTCCTCTTTATTGGATAACTGCAAAATGTTAAATTGAACACAATTATCAAGTATTGGCGGGAAGAAAAACACATTATGAACATCGGGGATAGCCGTAAACTAATCCAAGTATAAATTAAGAAAGGCTTTCATGAGACAAGTGGTCCAAACCGGCTGACGCTTGCCTAACACTAGCCACTTTCCGTAGTGTGAAGCTACTCCCAGGATGGGAAGCTAGTCGCTGCATTGTTTTCGTATATCAAGTTCGCCAGTATCACATTTATACTCCTGGGTGGAGATTGGCTATTTGAGAGTATCTAAAGAAGTGATCCCCCCAAGCGCTTGTTGAAACCTGACTGCTTAATCTGTAGTACAAAGGGCTCAGGCTATATACCCAGTATGGCCGGCGTAAGGCGAGCATTTCTTCGTTCTGTGTTTTCATACCTTTGTCATTCGTCCTCTTCCCAAAAAGCCTGAAGATGTCGGCGGATATTGCCGCGGTTGACTGTAGCTTTTTGATCCAGAATTACCTCCCATATCCGGCTAGGCGTAGCGCAAAGAACTCGCAAAGGAAAAAAAAAGTTTTTATCTCGTCAGCCACAGTCCAGTGTCCGCGCGCGATACGATTCCAATCAGTCTGAGTTTGGAATGCTCTCTTCACTCTTGATCGTTTGCTTTATAGTCGGTCAGGGATTTTGCCGATTCATTGTTGTTTGCTTTCAGTTTCTCGGGATTTTTCCCCGACCTGTCCTTTCGATAAACATTGGCCAAAGTTTGTTTTCAGTTTTTAGGGGTTTTTCCCCGAAGTCTCCTATCGATAAACTTTGGCCAAAGTTCACTTCAAGTTTCTTATTTGTTTTCCCGACGTCGATCTCCTTTCATATCGATAAACACTGACCTAAGTTGGTCTGTCCACATACGTTCATTTTTTGCTATGAGTTATTTTTCTTCGAGCGCAAGAGCGGCCGCGAAGCGAGTGCAATATTTTGATCTTTTCCTAGCCCCACCTCCTTGCTTCTTAACACGTGCATCCCACGCGCCGGGTTAATGTTTCGCAAAGATTGCGATCTCGACGAACCTGAAGACAAAGCAGAGGGTCTCTGGAGAGACTGAACTAAGTTTGCTTTTAAGTTTTAGTGGTTTTTCTCTGACTTCTGCTATCGATGAACATTGGCCAAACTTTGATTTAAGTTTCTTAATTTTCTTTTTCCCAACGTCCCCTTTCTTATCGATAAACAATGGCAAGAGCTTGCTTTCAGTTTTACGGGTTTCTCCCAGTCGAATTCTGTCGATAAACATTACCCAAATAAGGTACCTTTGACTCTGCTGGTACATTTGTTTGTTTGGGACGCGTATTAATCTCCTAGCTACAAACAAAAATGCATTTATTACTTTCAGTTTCGAATCCGTCAAATAAACATTGTTTGGCCTGCTGAGCCCCGACATTTTCTTCAGAACTTTCTCGAAGGTTTCCTTTGCAAACTCAATTTGCATCTCATTTCGTCATGTAATACTACTACATCAATCTGGAAAGTATTTTTTTCATAAACATGTCTTTGTTTTTTGATATTATCTGACTAAACAGTATCAGCATTCCAATTGGGATGTTTATTCCCTTCTATTATTCCGGGATTACTCAGAAAAATACCCGAGATCGCCTTTGGCAACATCTTGTAAAAGCCTCTCTCATGTAATGCCATTTCATTGCAATGAGTCTCACGTAATCCTAGCGTTACCGCGTGACTCTGTCACGCGATTCAATTGTCATTTCGATTCATTTCGAGGTAAAAGGAATTCTGTCGTAATAGTGCTCACGTTGCCAAAGAAATCTATAATTTTCACAAATGCTTATTATTTCAATCTATCCAATTATTTAAAAATTGCTTTTTACCAGCTTGTTCTTTACAGACTTCAGGGAATCGAGAAAGTGAAAATGATTCGTTACCAGTCTTCTGATACTGACTCGGATTCCAGATAGCAATGTCTCCTTCGTGCTCTGTTTCGCTCACCCTATTTCCGACTGAAAGGCCTGTTCATGCGATGCATGGATCCAGTAGGGAAAAAAAAAATGAAAATGTCGACCTCGTAACTAAGTTTTTCACGCGCAAAAGACAGCAACGGCGTCCAAAATATATTCAATTCACAATAACTACAAGGTCTGAAGTATACTTGAAGTCAACAGATTGTGAGCATTTTCTGAGGGTCTAAATCGGGGCGCTAGAATGGGTTAAATTTTCGATAATTTCTCAGCTTTCAGCAAATTTGGCGGATCTCAGATCTCGGCCATCAGTTAAAAAAGGCGTTGTCGCTTGGACATAGCTTCACATGGGGAATTCTGATCAACAGCTTTCGGTAGGCACGCCTGTATTCGTGCAATTTATTCTCTGTATTCGTGTCATTTTTTTTTTTCCTGTATTCGTGTCATTGTTTGATAGACACACGTTGCACAACTCTTCGTACAGTATTTTCTTCACGAGGGTTTTTGATCCATCACCGATGCGTGTCTCCCCACAGAAGGGGTAGCGAATCTCTCCTACACAGAGGCCTCTTTCGTGCTGCCTTGACCGTGTAATCTGGTGGATTGGAGCCTGGGAAGTGTGGGGGTATAAAGGAAGCGCGCGGGGAACGCCGGGAAGGGGAAAGAGAAAAGAGAGGCCCTTTCCCTCTTTCCATTGTCCCCCGCACGCCTTCTCACTTCCATTTCACCTCCTCCTCCCCTATAACGCCTCTGCGGAGCAGAGAGTGTAGCAAATGCTATCTAGAAAATCGTGGGTCTCGATTTTCTCGGAATCCTTTGTGAGTTTAATTCAGAAAGTCTCGTTTTTCTATGCTTCTTTCTGTCTCGGAATCTAAAATTGTTTAAGTCACAGTCTTGAATTGAAACAAGGTTCTCCAGGTCTCGGAATTTCGTATTCCTCGCCCTTCACTGACACCATTAAAGACACTATTTATGTTTCTTGCCAGCGAATTCCAGCAAACGTTCTCCGTTTAAGCGATACAACTGCCATTCATCCAGACATACTGCTCCGAGCTTGCCGTAGAAATCCTTGGCAGTTTTATTCCAATTTAAGCAACTCCAGTCTACTCTAACACAACTTTTCTCGACAGCTATCTGAAATTATAAAGTGATCAAAAACGGATGCTTAATTACCCATCCCTCATGATTACTACAACCAAATTCGCAATAAGCCAATCAGAAGCCGTGACTACTGTCCTGATATCCTGTGATATCAAGTCACTGACCTGATATGGCGGCTAACAGTAAAGCAACAGGATAGAGCTGGATCTGTAGGTAAACTATCTTCTAACAAAGCCTTGTTATATTATCCAGCGAGCTAGATCGGTTAAACAGCCCCAACCCCCCCCCCACCCACCCCCCTCCCCGAAAAGAAGAGAGGAACAAGAAAAGAGGAACTCAGAAATTCAATTTTTATAATTTTAATATACACTCTGAATTTGATTAACATTTACCTACATTAATTCCTTTTATTTTTCGTCATTTTACTCTCACTTATTGTCAAGCGTTTTATACATGAACCTCTGGCTCGGATATGGAGGGCACTGAACCTCGTCATGCTATTGTTATGTTATGTTATTCCATGGCAATTGTTATCGAGCCCCCTTCTTATGGGGATTGTTTTGAATTTTATGGTACATGTACATGTATTGTCACAGCATGAAAGACCAACTCAGTCTCAATAAGCCATTTCCAAGTTATCTTGTGCCAAAACGAGTTAGACTGCGAGCAGTCTCTCTTTTGCTCGGAAATCTTTCTTTCGGTTCTTTCCCACGGATTTTTGTGCAAAAAAGAGACTACTTGCGGTCTAAAAACGAGTCCCTGGGCAAAAACTTTCATATTGAGTTTTATTTAACACATGAAAATGAACCGCTAAGGTGGAACACATTTTCATATGGATGGTTTCGCACGAAGACTAATTTTGACATAGAGGCAAAAGTCGACTCGGAAATGGACTATTTCTCATTCTTTTTTAACACTAAAGAAAACACTTAAAATATTAGGAATTTTTATTTTAAATCTCAACCTACCGCAGAAATTCTTCTTAACATGTCTGTTCCGATACCTTTTCCTGTTAAAAAGAAAACAAAGTCATGCCTCCCATATAAAGTAGTTGCCCCAAATGCCGAGCATAAGTTGTCACTTTTGGAAGGTGTTCATCAGTTAAGAGACTGAGGTAAAACCAGAGGGGGTCTTAATCTTGAGCAGTGCCAGAGGTCGCTGCCACATTAACTATGCTGTCCAGTTGTAATACAGTGTTTAGATGAACCAACACTGACTATATAAAACATGTGTATGAGAGATAAAATGTTCTACTGTTCCTTAAGAACAAGCTTTATTGTTTTATAAGAGTTGTAAGATAATTATCTTGTTACCCAATAATAGTTATTATTATACATTGAATTCACTCTCTCTTTTCTGATTGGCCAAGAGCGTACAGTGAAGTTTTGAAATCAGCGCCTCTGACGTCATCTAGCTGCAGATTATACAATAATCATGTCAAGGACACTCAAGGTCACGGGTAATCATGTCATGTATGACCACGGCGCATGATTTCTAAGGGTAATCATGTCAAGTTTACGCGCTTCGTGTTGCTTGCTTGCTTGTTTCTCTCAGTGAAGAAGCAAAAACATGACTTCCATATTTTTCTCTGTTCAGTGTATAATAAAACACTTATTAGACTTAGTTGTTGTGATATCCAGAATAATCTGAAAGGTCTCAGTAAGGGTTATCAGCCGAAGCCTTCGGCTTCAGCTGATAACCCCTACCTCAACCTTGATTATTCTGGATATCACAAAAATCTCATCCAATAATTGTCTATTAGTACTGGTGACCATAGTGCTCCTTTTGAGCATGATGAGAAGTTAGAACTCCCTCCAAAACCACTCTAAGTAACTGATCGTTCATACTTCATTTGCAGCAAAGATTCATTGAGGAAATTTTCCAAACAAAAAGCACCTTAACTGCCATCCTTGTCTATTAAATGTCTGCACATGCTCTCATACAAATGCCCTGAGCAGTCACTTTATCAGTTACAGTGAGGACACTCAAACCGCGAACACTTGCTATTATTTTTCACATTATTTTAGTGACCATAGAATGCAGGCTCTTCCTTTTAACAAGAGCATTTAGTGTTTTTATACTTTAAAAATTCTAACATTAGACATTACATTAAGAGACTTTATTTTATAGTCATTCAAAAACAATGAAGTATTCATGGTTCATGTGTCCTTTACATAGAAGTTGTAGCAATATCTCAGATAAATTGTGCTGAAATTGGATCTGGTTGTAGAGTGAGTGCGCAGAAATTGCAGAGGAAATTGTGACAGAACGTTGCTCTAGAAATCATGAGCCTTAAGTTTATATTTATTTTTTTGGCAAGCCAGCCTTACCAGGCAACGAAACGTAAAACCTCATACTGTCACGGAGTGCTGCTGTGGCTGTAAATATTAATGTTGCCAAAGGTGAATTATTACTAAACAGTGCACGGCAGTCATTAAGGGCCATAACCTGTAGCACCTGTTACAGCCGAGTATGCTTGATTTTTCCCTGATGCTATGGGTGAAATTACCCGAGTGTTTTTTAATAGAATTCAACCACAAAGTAACAAGTTTACTATGGGTGTGGAGAACAAGGCTACAGGTGACTCAAAACTTAATGACAGCCCTGCAGGGTTGTATTCAGACTGCAGAGCCACATTGGTTGACTCAAGACTGTACGTGACACTCAGGGTAACAGAATTGAAAAAGGTTATACAACGTCAATTACACATACATTACTTAAGAAATAGAAAACATGTACACAAGTGGAAGTTTCGGAGAATGGGAAATGCTGTGGGATAACAAGCCACAGGCAAGTGTTTCCACAGCTTTTTCAAGTTCTCCCAAACTCTCACGAGTGTTTCTATAACTCGATAGAAAAATGGAGAACATGTTTTCTATTTCTTTTAGAAAACACCATGACAAAAAAAGGAAAACAACTTGTTACCTTTGATTATCAAAATGTAAATTCTCTTTGCTCGCACCATTATTACGTCAACAGCTCGTGCTAGTTCTGTGTTTCTATAGAGTTATAGAAACAAGATTTTTAACCAATAAGTGCGCATATTTTCTTAGAACTGTTTTCTAATGCAAAATATCAATAAATGTCTGTAGTTTACTTTACCTCTAAAAGCTGGGTTGACATAAAGGTCTTCTAGATATAGAGACCGGCCTTCCCATGTAGAATAGATGTAAAAAAATAATGCGTAACCAACTGGCTTTTTCTTTGGTAAACAATTATTTCCTTCATTGAAATTTATCTCATCTGCTATAACGCATTCAAACCATGGCTTGTCTCCAAATCCATCTCTCAACATTTCTGCAAGATATTATTACAACAGATCAGTTGCAAATAACTTAGATTGTTGCTACAGATCAGACTGAATCTGCCAGGTTGATTGCAAAACCTCCTGGCCAGATTGATAGTTACTAAAGTACTTTCCTCGATAATTCATTTCTTTAACTGATCATAGGAGAAACTTTTTGATATTAAATACATTTTGATGGTTGAATGGGTGGAGCCTTAATTAGTTTGGTCTGCTATTTTCTGGTCGGCAATTTTCTTCATCTGCTGTTTTCTCCTACAAGAACTGATCGAGTATGTCTAACTTTAATTGGGAACTGCTGTTCTATGAGATCTGAATTTTATGTTGGCATTCTGTTGTTGTATCTTTGTGACTGAGCCATTATTGCACATGCACCCTGAGAACAGATTTGAAAGTAATATATCAGATACAAAAGACCTTGTTTGACCACTTTCCACACACTGAGAAGAGAGTTGAAAACATGGCCATAACAGAGTGTTTAGAAATGTGGTCAAACAGTCTGTCTTGAGTGTTTGATATATCTTCTCAAGTATCAATACAAAAACTAAGGAGAAAATGGAGAAATTGAAATTTGTAAAAAAACTATGCTAATAACGATCACATATCCAAACACTGTCATATAGTAATTTCCAAGCACTTTGGGAGAGGTTCTATTTTACTCTGGCAGTTATGATCATAATAATTGTCCTATTAGTAGGGCAGATTCAGTCTTTGTGAGAAAATGAAAGTGGTCTGCAGGTTTGAAGCGACAAAATGTAGCAGAATGGCAGAATGTATGACCCCCTATGATAAACCATCTTGGGAGGCTGCTCCAACAATTTCCCAGAACATGTTTTCTCAAATTAAACAGTGTGACAAACCACTGTAAAATGGAGCTAAACCTACTAGAATTAGTGTACATTTGCAGCAATTTAGCAGGCCTTTCCCCCTACATCCTGATAATTAAGAATTATTGAATAAGGTTGAGCAAAAAAATTTGATTAATGATAGTGGCTAGCAGATCAGTTATCAACATAATTGATCTGCGAGAAACTGACACTGAAATCATGATCTTTTGTGATAACCGAGTTCAATAATTATTGTTGTATCATTCGATCACCAAGTTTGTTTTCTTATTAAATCACTCTCTGACAACTCAGGGAAGCAATCTGCCATGTTTCACCCGAGAGCAGGGCCCCAGAGTTTGGTTACAATTACGCATGATCAGAATATTATTTGCAGCAAAACACATTTGGACTGTACATTGCATGAGCAGACCATTATTTGTAGGCAGTTATTTGCAGGACATGTGGTGAACTCTCAGCCAATGAAAAGGAAGAAAAAAATGCCTTGAATGTTAACAACAGTTGTTCATAAACTGGAGATAAAAACTAATGCTACAGCACCTTCTTCAGTAAGTTTTACTCTTGATTCAAGTTCTTTTTCATATACAGCTAAATCCTGCAGAGTCAAAATAGAATCCAGTTACATCAGCAATTAATTTAAAACTGATAAAAATACTCTTATTTTGAATGTAAAACTCTCAAGCCACTCGACCCTGAAATTCTGAGCAACAACCACCCCCCACCCCCAAGCTTACTCATCCATCAAAATAATTGTATAGTGTTTTCCAAACCCAGGAGCCCATTTGGATCCTGCCAAACCTGTTTATAATAGTACTACAGTGCAGTTTTTCATGGAGATGGGGTGGCCTCATGGTTAGAGTGCTCACCTCCATTGGACAATACACTTCACTCTCACAGTGCCTCTCAGTTCACCCAGGTGTATAAATGGGTACTGGTGAAGTTAATGCTGGGGGTAACCCTGCGATGGACTAGCATTCCCCCAGTGGGGTGGAGTACTCCCTTATATGGGCTATATAAGTTTGTGCAGCCCTAAAGGGTAGGCGTTTCAGCAGTTCTGGTCATACATAGGGTGTGGTTTTTGCACTCTAGAACCTCATATATCTTTTATTACTATAAATTTACTAGGGCTCTATCACAAATGCCGTTCTCTGATTGGCCACCCTACTCACTATCTATTCTGTGATAGATAGTGAATAGCATAGCAGTGTGCGCTTGTTAACAAAATGATGGACTCTACTGGGCGTTTTCGAAGTGTCTGTGAAGAGGATTTGGACAAAGTTTTGAACGAGTAGTAGATTTATACTAAAACAATTAGATTATTTGCTCTTGACTTCTATGCATCATGGTCGAGTCGGGCTGTACCTTCGTCAACTATAACTAGAAATCTTGAGCTCACAATCTAAGTAGAAGCTATTTTTTCAGGTCTTAAATAGAGTAGGAAAAATCACAGATTTTGGTCATAAATAGAGTAAGGGTTTTGGGAGGCGGGCCACACCTCCATCCAATTTTTCTGGGAGTAATTCCCCCCCCGGCCCCCCGAGGGCATCCCATCCAGGGGAGAGTAGAAATACTTCTAGTCGCTTCATGTTACGGAAACCGGGAACCTTACCCCTTTACAGAGCAGTTTAGTGCGTGCACACGCTAAGAATTTGAACTGAGTACAGTACTACTGAAGTATAAATGCGCCCTGCTAGCTATCATGCTACTCAAACCACCTAATACCTGCTAATACTCTATTTGAAATGTTGAGGCAGATTTCATTACCTTTATCATTCGTATAATATCCGGGACATCCTGTGCCACTGCATCGCGTACCCGCCAATTTGTCATGTTCGATGAGTTGTAACCAGCTCCACAAACACAAGAAAGTGCGACACAAACAGTCGAATAGTGACAAAACCCACTTAATCGGAACGATTGGTGAGCCCCCGTTCAAGCTAAAAGAGGTATGCTTCAAAATGGCGGGTAAATTTCATGCACACAGACCCAGGCCTCCATTTGACTTTGACCTTGCATTGACTGCACTGTCTCCCCCCCGGTGGCGGGGACTCCCATGCAAAAAGGACGGGGAAGCTCGTTAGCAATTTTCAAAAGAACTCCTAAACCGTACCAAGGCATGTGTTAATATTTTTTTTTACCCCTAAGAGGTACCGATTCTAAAACGACACATTATCCCCTGTCATATTGTCCGCTCAATGCGGATGATCTCTTTGTTAGACTTGGCTGCAAAAACTTAATCTTCAACGAGAATTAAAAACAGCCACTATGGTCTATAAATCTCTTAATGGTCTCGCCCCTGATTATCTGAAATCAATGTTTACTGANCCCCCCCCCCCCCCCCCAACGGGACATAATATCTGCCTCTTTTTTTCTTTTTCTTTAGAGATCTGGTCTGTTAGCGGTATTTGTTCCGCAAAACGTTAAGTTGGCATAGCCTGAGATTATAGGACAGATGAATATTATGCGTACGACCATTTTATGGAAGCGTCACAATAAACACAAAGCCGCGTCCCGCGTGAGAAAATAATTCCGCCGGTTGCAATGGCTTTGTAACTAAGTTAGTGTCATTGTACGCTGCGCGTATTTTGACATCTCCTTCACATGATGCCAATGCGGATGATCTCTTTGTTAGACTTGGCTGGCAAAAACTTAATCTTCAACGAGAATTAAAAACAACCATTATGGTCTATAAATCTCTTAATGGTCTCGCCCCTGATTATCTGAAATCAATGTTTACTGATCGGAGTGCAATATCTACCTATTCTCTTAGGAATTGTGAGGGCAAACTAGCCGTTCCACTTCCCGCACCAATTTTCTAAAAAAACAGTTTCAGCTATAGTGGTGCGGTGCTGTGGAACAGCTTACCTACCAATCTGCGGCAAGTACAAACTCTTGCTACTTTTAAATCCTGCTGCAGGGTATCCTTTTTCATAATAAATAAGTTAATTAATCACACGGCATTCAAGGAAAGCAGGCACTTCGTTATTGTTTTTATTTTTGTTGCTATTAGATTTAACTAGTAGTAGATTAGTATCTTAACAATGTAATTAATGCAATTTTAGTATTTACTTTAAGTCCTGATGTTTTATTTTGTGCATAAATAAAGTTAAACAAATAAATAATAAATAAATAAATAATAAATTGTGTGTTACCGCAAATGTTACAAATAACACATTTATCGTAAAAAAATTGCGAACTTCGATCTTCTGTTACAGTTGTTAATAATAGAACATGGTGTGTTGAATCCACCCAAGGCTTATGATTAACCTAATCTGCATACATTTTTTTCGTTGGTAAAGCTCTTTTTAGTGAGTCTCGACGAAGGGCCGTCTGGATTTTACAAAATAGAGGTCAAGCATCGCATTTTTTTTCGGTGAACGTAAAAAAATAAGGGTTTAGTCATTTGACGATTGTCGCCGGCGCCGTGTACACGTAAACGGAGTCGATAAGTACGAGCTTTATTTAGCAAGAGCGACTTGTTACAGTAATAAAACTGATAAACGTGCGTGTGGCCTTCAAAGTCCTTTAAAGTTAGTCAGACAAAAGGGTGATCGTGGAATGTCGACAGGCAGGAGATGACTGACACTTAAGGCTACAAAGAGTGATCAGAGTCACGTTTTCTGTGAGCGTGATCGGATATTTATTTTTTATTTGTTATTTTTCTTTGGACTCATTTCGTAATTCTAGGTCAAGTAAACAGAATCAAGCAAGCCATTTTCAACCGATAACACATGATCTAATCGTTTAAAATGCCATGAATTTACTCCAGAATGCAGTTTCTTTCGAAAGGTCGGCTTGAATTGTAAATCAGAAAGTGGCGACCAACCGAACGTAGCCAGCCTCCGGCGGAAGTAGCGAACTCAACGTGACGAGGTCTTGTTTCCGGCGTCGCTGTTCTTCTCTATCGCCCCCTGTAGACTACGTTATAACAAGTCTTGACGTGATGACATGATGACGTGATCGCGAAGAAAGGCGATAACGCGCAAAGTTAATTTCTACTAACGAACTCAGTTTATTATAACTGAGTTTTAGATGATGTGGTACACACACACTGCACCTGTATGCAGCTACAACTAAAAGCTGGACAAAGCACAAAGATTTAGCCCTTGACAATTTAATTCAAACAAAAACATTTTGCAATATTAAGTTGTAAGGACCCACACAGAAGCAGCCACTCCCTTCCTCCACCTCCCAGTGACGGAAAGTAGTAAACCTTCAGAATTATGGTTATTAAAAAAGGCTATCAAAAGTTATTCCAGAAGAAACAGGAATGTTACTGACGAAACTTGATGGTGTATTACAGAAAGCTTATTATCCACACTAAACCAATTTGCAACATGATTGCATGTTGAATCCGCACAATAGACAAGTTAAGCTGGCTTTACAGGTCTCTCGCAGTTGTACAAACATGATAAATGTCAGTCTCTTGATATTACCTTTCAGCTTCGGGAACAGTTCCAACTTTCCCACTGAGCCGTGCTCGCTTGGACACGTTTAACGTTTCAGTCGGGTATGGCTATTATGGGAATGTGTTTAAGCTGTAATCCTGATTAGTCACCTGTCACGAAGGGCGCTATTACATTGCACAGTCGTACGTAAAGCTTGCTGTACAAATAAAGTCGTGCTGTGAGTTGCACGTATTGGGGCCGACCGCAACAAATTGGGAAAGAAAAGTATAAAGCATGAGGAAATGTGAAGCCAATCCAGCGCATTATTCCTCCCCGCTAACTCTAGCAGAGAGTAGGAACGCGTACAATCGCTATAACGATGTAAAAACTAATTAGCCTACGAGAGCAGACGATTTTGTCGGTTTTTTGGAAAAAGGCGTCTGCTCTCTCATGCTAGGAAACAATTCAGGGGAAAGCTGTGGAAGCCCTTCAAACGTCATTTATTGTTTACATTTTGCCCAATTATTAGCATTCAACTTTGCGTCGAGTAGGATCACGCTAGATAGGAAAAGACTATAGACATCTATAGAGCTTGTGAAACTTAGTTATTGTAAAAATTATTAGTTGTTTCTGGGCTTTTCGAAACGGCAAAGGATTCGAGTGCGAAAGCGCCAATGTGCCACTGATTACATTTAAACTGACTAAGAGCTTGTAATGTTACAGTGCAGTCTTCTGAACGAGGAAATACTAGAAAATATATCCGTCGTGATCAAGTTCGCTTTTCTCATGACGGCCGTCTACCTTTATATCAATCTTTTAGGATAATCAATATTTACAGGCTTAGGATTGTCAGTAATCACGCTGCAGTGATCAGAAGCGGTCGTTCAACCGTTTTTCTTGGTTTTAAACGTGCACGAAACTTTTCCTTTGGCTCCTGTACTGCTCTGTAGCACGTTAACAAAAAGAAGACAGTCTCACCGTAGCCGGAAAAAAGGATTTAATCCGGGTTTATCCTCTTCAAATGCCCCAATTCTGTTGTTTTCGAACCTTCCTGCACAGTAATTAACTTCCCGTGTGAAATGGTTTTGATTCTTTAATGCAAAAACACACAAGCGCATCTTAATTTGTTCAGGCATGGACTCGCCGGTTATTATACAAACATTACATAACCATTGTTACCTTGCCAGATAATCGCGGAATCAATCTTTCGTGACACGTTTTAAATTTTCTCGTGTCGAGGCTAATAAAGTCTGTCATTACCTCGACAAGTGGGTAAATTGACGCGTACATGATATTGTAATAAGACAATCAAAAAGTTCACGTTCAAGGGTCACCACCAAAATTAACAGAAGCAACAGCTCGGGAGGTTTGTTTGCCGTGTTAATCTTGATTTCTGTAAGAGAAAGCAAGCACCAAGGATTTACAGTTGCTTGGCTTAAAGACATTCTTCCAAGTTGGCAACAATAGGAAAGAAAGGTAACCAAGTTCATGACCCTTCCTTCTTGATCACATCGTGTTGTTCCCTTCTACAAGACGTTTTGTGGATCATACGCAACATTGTTTGAAACATGAAATAAAAAGTAGGACTTGACTGCCCTAAATCGAGTTCAGAAAAGTCAAGGGGCTGAAAGTTGTCTGTACTGTTGCTCAGAGACCAAAACGGGAATTGATTGTTTAAAAAACTGCGTGACAAGAACATGTCGACTCAAAGCCTAAAAGAACAAGTAACTAAGGAACCACTCTCACGCAATGTATTCAAAACCAGGACAAGCAAATTACAGAGAATTCAAGTCTCTCCGTCACCTCAACTAAGCCGTAAGAATGTCGTTAGCGCCGAGAAATGGAACAGTAACGGACCCTTATTTGTGGAGTCCAAAGAAGATCAGAGCCGAGCGTGTACTCCAAGCGCGCACGAGAGTATAACGTTTGAAGTGGACGACACTAACACAATGTGGTCAAAAGCTGACAATGGAAAACACGACCATCAGCTCTCCTCGTGGACACATCCGCATCGACGCCGATGCAGCTGCTGTAACGAAGTATACACGATGCGCTTTCTAATTGCAGTGGCATTTACTTTCTCAATAGCAAACCTCTTTTTGACTATAATTCTCACACAAGGACAGAACAGAAATTGTGCCTGCCAAGAAAAAAGTGAATTGAAAGGTAAGGTACCTTAATAAATGTATGCACTAAGTTTTTGTACTCAATCAAGGTCCAAAGCCTTGGCCTGCTTAGACTTTGTACGTGATCGTGGGACAGAACTCAGTGAAGACAATGCTGTTTTCTGTACAAATACACTCAGGAAGGCACGCAATCCCGGACCCACTTGAAGTACGCAGGGTAACTTATTTACTCAGATTTGGCAAGTTATATATAGCTCAAAAATCTTTTTCTAAGAAATTGTTTGTACGAAAAGAAATGAATCAGTCTTGCTCTTCCGTGTTCAGAATTTACTCACAATTCGTAATCTTAAAATTCTAGTTAAATGGGTGCCTTCTAGCGTTGAAATGTCTAGTTTTTTTCCAGATAAATTGAATCACTCCTTCTTTTTGGACCAGTGAAATTATTCTGGGACCCTTTGTGCTATTTCAGACCGAATTCTATTGTATTTCACTCATCAATTTAAGTACCTTGACTACTGCTCCACGAAACACAAAGGTGTTATTAGGTTTCAAGCTGTTAAAGGAATTCTCTATCACACCAGAAGTTCACAACACTCAAGAGATACAGGCTCAACCTGTTCAACTCGCTGAGATTAAAACTTGCTTTACTGTTATTTATCACCCGGAGGACGATCCATCTTGAAGAGTTTTTGAAGAGACGGAGAAGGCTAAATAGAAAAGCGGACCTATTTTGAATCAGATATAGATAAGAACCAGACAAACCTTCTTGAAAACAAATGAAGGATTATCGTTTCTGCTCTG